TCAAATTCCAAAATTCTCTAGTATCCAAATCTCCAAATTCCAAAATTTCCCAGGTCCCAAATTTCCAAATCCCAAAATTCCCTAAATCCCAAGTCTTCAAATTCGATAATTCCCTATATCTCAAATCTCCTAATCCCAAAATTCCCTAGATCCCAAATCTTCAAATTCCAAAATTCCCTAGTACCCAAATCTCCAAATTCCAAAATTTCCAAGCTCCCAAATCTCCCAATTCCAAAATTTCCTAGATGCCAAATCTTCAAATTCCAAAATTCCCTAGTACCTAAATCTCCAAATTCCAAAATTTCCCAGGTCCCAAATTTCCAAATCCCAAAATTCCCTAAATCCCAAGTCTTCAAATTCGATAATTCCCTATATCTCAAATCTCCTAATCCCAAAATTCCCTAGATCCCAAATCTTCAAATTCCAAAATTCCCTAGTACCCAAATCTCCAAATTCCAAAATTTCCGAGGTCCCAAATCTCCAAATTCCAAAATTTCCCAGGTCCCAAATTTCCAAATCCCAAAATTCCCTAAATCCCAAGTCTTCAAATTCGATAATTCCCTATATCTCAAATCTCCTAATCCCAAAATTTCCTAGATCCCAAATCTTCTAATTCCAAAATCCCCTAGATTCCTTAGATGTGTTCACTACGTGACTCACTGTTATACTTATGTTACCAGTATAATACAGTATACCTACTATATTAATATATGCGTATACTTATACTATAATAGTCTACATATACATACATATACTTATACCCTACTAATATACATATGTACAGCACTGTATGTTACTACTAGATCAGCACAAGATTGTGTCAAATACATTACAATAAAATATACTCCACTCGATTGCATCGGTATGTCTCAACAAATAAGTACAAATCCACTAAAAATCAGTAAAACACACTAATCACAAGGTTAATTTCATGCATCTCTAAAAATCCGACCAAGTAACACGATATAAAATATTCCAAGTTAATTAAAATACCCGCTCGCACCCGAACAAATAATAAAACCCTTAATCCTCGGTAACGATCGTGTCAACAAATAGTCTCTCGTTAGTTTAGCTCGGGTATGGTTTTTCCGATAAACATGGTCGTAATGGCAACGAACGTGCAACATCGAACGGAAACCACGAAGAAACCGCGGGGGTGAGGGGTTCGTTTACGGTGAAAAAAGAGAAAGATATGAATAAATGAATCGGGTGGACCCCGTATGGGTACGGTTAAGCCACGGGACAGGCAACGAGAGGGACGTGAGAAAAAGACGAACGGAAAGGGGTTGGGAGGGCGACGAGAAGAGGGAAAAAGAGAGGGCAGTAACGGGCGAATAAAAGCTAGCTTCGAGCAGATGGCTGGCGCGGCCATTAGCTAATGGATCCCTAACACCAGTACACCGGTCGAGTCATCCGCTAGGAAGTACAAACCGGTAGGTGGACGCGTCTATCGGTGACGTTGCTATATCCCTGCACCCTTTCAGCCACCGTAAACGCATAGCGGAGGAAATCGTGCAACGGCAATCGTGCTAAATCACAAACGAAACGAATGCCACCATTTTCCATCTACGGAGTCCTCGATCGTCAACATGGACGAAAATTACCGCGGGAGATTTGGCCTCGCGATTCGGATGCAAGTTATGATACGTGGAGTATCGAGGTAAAAGTATGCTTCGGTGATTTGTAGAGGTGTACTTTGGGAAATTAGGGAATCTGGAGGGGGTTGGAGTGGGGAATTGAGAAATTTGGAGGGGGTTAGAGGACACTGCAATTTGGGGAATGTTGTTTTGCAAATTTGGAAGTGAGGGTTTAGGTACTAGAATGGTTCAGTATTTGAAGATGTGGAAGTTTCAGAATTTAGGGATTCTGAAATTTGGAAGTTGGGGGTTTAAATACTAGGATGTTTGGATATTCGGAGGTTTGCAAATATGGGCACTTGGAAATTATGGAACCTTAGAAATTTGAATGCTTTCGACTTTGGAAGCTTGAGTATTAGAGGGTATAAGAGTTTGGGAATTTAGGGGTTCTGAACATTTGGAAGTTGGGGGTTTAAATAGTAGGAAGCTTGGATATTCGAAGATTTGCAAATTTGGGCACTTGGAGATTGTCGAGCCTTAGAAATTTGAATGCTTTCGACTTTGGAAGCTTGAGTATTTGGGGGTATGAGAGTTTGGGAACTT